GGGGGGCCCCCACGCGTGTTCGCGGCCCCCCCTCGCCCCCCCGCCCGGCGGTGGGGGGCGGGCGGCCGTGGCAGCGAACCGTACCGTGCCCTACCTGCCAGCCTGAGCGCCGACATCCTCTGAAATTCCGGCTCCTGCAACCATTTCCACATCCTGCGGAAAGTCTCCCGGCCCGACTTGAGCTTACTCCAGGGCTTGGGGTTCCGCAGCAGGTCCGAGAGGGTCCCCTGGGATCGGCACAAGGCGAACCGTACCGTGCCCTACCTGCCAGCCTGAGCGCCGACATCCTCTGAAATTCCGGCTCCTGCAACCATTTCCACATCCTGCGGAAAGTCTCCCGGCCCGACTTGAGCTTACTCCAGGGCTTGGGGTTCCGCAGCAGGTCCGAGAGGGTCCCCTGGGATCGGCACAAGATCCTCTGGGCGAAGATAGCCTGCGGGATGCTGTAACGCTTCAGCTCGGCCGTGATCCTCTGAGCCACCTCCTTGGTGTTGATCTCCTCCACCTGCCCAGAGCCACCGGGCTGGGAACCGGTGGCCGAGGCCTGGCGATCTCGCTCGCCCAGGAGGGAGCCACCAGGCTGGGCGTGCGGGTGGCCGTGCGGGTGCATCCCGTTGAGCGGTGGCATCATGGCCGAGCTGGGGGCCGCTAGCCCCCGCGCCAGGTGCTCCTCGCCCCGGGACAACATCGCGGCGTGCGAGTCGAAGCCGTTGGGCGAGAGCATCTTCTCGTTGGGCAAGTGGCCACCAGGGCCGTAGGGGGCCAGCGGCTGCTGGGCGTTGTGCAGGCTGCCCAGCCCGTTGGGTAGCGGCGAGAGGGGCTGCCCCATGGCCGGCATGTCCTTGGGGTAGTGGCTGTAGAGGTTGCCCATGGAGGCCAGGCTCCGCTCGTCGCGCATGAGGGTGAAGCTGCCGCTCACGTTACCGGCCAGGCGTTGGTGCGGGTGATGGTGATGATGGTGATGGTGAGGGTGGTGGAACTTCTCCGAGACGGTGGAGATGGGCGGCAGGTGCTGCAGGGGGGTCAGCGTGGTGTAGGTGCTGCTCAGGCTCATGCCGGAGGGTGACTCGCAGGACATGCTCATGGCGGGGTGCAGCGGGGCGGCCAGGCTGTGCTCGGCGCGGTAGTCGCCCCCTTCCAGGATGGAAGCCATCCCCGAGACCATGGCGGGCCGGCCGTGCGGGACCAGGTTGCGGTGCGAGCCCTGCCGCCCGTGAGCCGGGCTCAGCAGCTCGGCGGGCTGCGAGTGCGGGACGCCGTGCAGGCTGCCCAGGTTCTCCATCGCCAGCTCCATGGT